ACCCTACATTGTCCGGTAAGGTGTTAATTATTCTTCTTATCTCTCAGTGCTGCATGTTTCCAGGGGATAAAGTTTCCATCCAGGAAACCAGAAACCACAGGGAAGGGCAAAGGAGTCCCTTCTCCCTGGCTGAATGTATAGGAAAAACAAAAATAGAGTCATCAATATAGATTACTGTTTCAATACAACATTAAATAATATTGTAATTAATGCAAAAAAAAAAAATATGATGACCAAAGCATTAAAAGGTTTGTAAACGTCGGTATTTGATCCTGCCTCCACCTGGCTAGTGAGCCTCATTGTCTGTGAGGGAGACCATGTGACTTGAGGGTGTCTGCGTATTAACAGCCTTAAACTGCTACTAGAAATGTATCAAGAAATTTTCTTTAGGGTTGCAGACTGAATATGGATCTGTTCTGCTTTCTGACAATTCAGAGGCTAAATTTTTTTTTGAGTGCTTACAGCTAAGTGCTAAGTGCTAAGCACTTTACATGAATTACCTCCATTCATGCTCACTGTAATCCTATGAAGTAGATACTAGCATTAACCCCAAGAGGAGACCGAGGGTCAGAAAGCTAAGGAGTTTGCTGGAGGGGTATCCGTCTAACAAGTAGCCAACCCAGGGTGAAACTGGTCTTGTCCCCACAGGGTTTGAGACATCACTCACTCCTTGTCTGAATCCTTTTAACCCAAGATGTCAGAATAGGTGACTTTAAGTTTCAAAGATGTGCCTTCCACACACAGGATAGCTTTATAGGTCTGAGTGATGATCTACCACAAAATAACCTTTCAGTTGAATGGAAAGCAACTTGTGTGGCATGTAAAGCTGGGGCAGGCAATTCCGGAAACATTCCAGGAAGAATGATCTTCTCCACCACATGGTTTTCCCTGGTAACTCATGCTGCTTTCTCCTTTGTTTGGGGTGTCTCTTACGTGAGAAACAGAAGAAGAAGAAAAAAAAGAAGTGAGAAGCGATGATGGTGAGAATGATGGTAGTTTCAGTGGAGTAGATGAAGGCGCTGGTGATGACGGTGGTGGCAGCTAATGGCGATTGCAGCTGTGGGTTCCAAGAGCTGGGATAAGTGCCTTCACCGGTAGTTTTTCATTAGCCAAATGAGAAAGCTTGCAAAAGTCCATGTCAGCCCAGTTAGGCTCCGTTTCCATCAGGAAACTGAGTCTCTGGGAATCTAAGAAACTTGCTCGAGATCACAAACAAGTGTGTGGCTTGGTCCTGTGCTTTTTACCCCAACGTTGTAGAAAGAAAAGCTACCTAGACACAGCTGTATGGACTCCTGTTTCTAGCCCTGAGGAGGCAGAGACAAGAGGATTGCATGAACCCAGGATTCTGGCAGTTTTTCATTTAGTCTTCTGGCTCCTTTAAAGTAAAGCCTTCTGATCCAATGGCAGTTAGTGGAGAATTGGATACTGTAGAATTTCCCCACTTTCCAAATCCCTAAAACCTGAAGGCCATAATGTGATGTACATCCCTTTGAGATCCAAGTCTGGATCTTCACAGAATTATCTCCCAGGGACATATTTCAAAGGATCCCAGGCTACTGGAGATTTTATTCCTCTAAAGAATCTCACTTGAGATGTTTCAAATTAAGATCCATGAATTAAGAGGAGGAAGCCAAGGATCAGAATTCTACATACATACTTTTGTGCATATCGTCGGCTCATGATTCTTAATACTACAGATTTAGAGAGAGTACATTTTCACCAAAAATTTAGTGCCCAGGTGTTAGGATAGCTCCAGAAAAGGCTTATCAGAACCAAAGACAAAACAAAATGGGGAGAACTTAAAATGTTTTATGAATTTCCTCTTTTGAAGAATCATAACAAATCTGCTGCTGCATTAGCTTCCATCTTAAATAAAGCAAACCTGATTAATGAGTACTGGGAGCCCATGACAAAGAACAGGAACAAGGCAGACACATAGAAACACGCTAGTACATGTCTGACATGGAGGAAAAAAGCCAGGGTTCATGGCATTGTCTAACGGCTGTGGTGTCAAGACCTTCACTGTGGCTTGATGCTAGTTATCCTTGTGAAATTCCTACATAAGGAGTTGGGAGTACAGGCACACATCAGCTGTGTGCCGGTGGCAAACTGCTTAGTGGGAAGAAAGGGCAGATAATCAGCTAGTTTCCGTGTGGGATTCACAAACTGTGTGATCTTAGAGATGTCTCTTGCCCTCTCTGAGCCTTTGTCTCTTCGTGTCCAAAAGATAATCAGGAAAATCTTCTTTTCACCTCTAACATTGTAAAGTTCTAGAAGGCAGTGCTTCCTTCTTTCTCCAACATCCAAATCCCTTTAAGCGCCTTTCTGGAAAAATCAAGTTTTAGTGCTGTGCTGTATCCAAAAGTGCCTCCAATTTCATCTACTGAGCATAAGGTTTGGAAAGGAGTGACTTACTCCCTTTTGCCTCTTTCAATGTGTAGCCAATGGGGCATCATACATTTTTTACACTTCTTTTGCTAGATGTAAGATCCAGGAGGAAAAGCATGGGTGATCCAGGGTCTCCTTGCTCTCCTGGGAAGGAATGTGAGTGCAATGCACTGTATTTGCTGACTGCATTCCCTACATCCCTACCCTTCTTTGCAGCACAACCAGACTGTTGACATCTCCTACCTTTTTATTTGTATTTTTTCATTTGTGCTCTTCTTTGTTTTTTTAATATTTAAAAGCCATTTTCAAGAGTAGGAACTGTCTCTATAGGATAGAAAGGGGGTGCAATTTTTTTTTTCTCTGAAAGGTGGCACGTCTCTCAGTGAAGAGAAAAAGGCATGTCGCACAGGCTTGCTGGCAGTGATATAAGCCAGCGCCGGTTTGCCTGTTGTCACAGCCAAAGCAAAATGCCACCTCTGCCTAGAAGCCAGAGTGCCACACTCTTCTTTTGTGTCCCAGAAATGTACCCATCATGAGACTCTGGGCGTGTAGGTGTGGCCAGAAGGCTCCTAGGACTGCTTAAAAGTCATCTTCCAACCCCAACGAGGCCAAGGGCACAAAGAGTGTTTCTGGCTCCAAATAGATTGTTTTGAGCTTCCAGATTGCATGTCAGATACAGCGAGCAAATGTAGACTTGGAGAGGCCTGGGCGAGAATAGGCGAGCCCCACATTGCTGAGAATAAGGTAAGGCTGCACATGCGCACTCGTGACATGGTGTGTAGTCCTCTCCTTGGACCGACCCCTACTTAATAAACCCAGATGCCATGGCAGCAAAAAACAAGGAAGAATTCCAAGGCAGGAGGTGCCAAAAACACCCTCTCTTCACCCAATAACCACTACTTCCCCAAATTTTGTTCAGTAAAATATTCTCACCCCTAGAGGGGGAAAACCTGTCCATGCCTGAAGCAAGTTGACCCTAGCGATCACAAGCCCTCTGTGGAATGGACATATCAGGGGAAAATAATTCCCCACTCCCCCCACCTGCCTGCTCTCTGAGAGGGGACAGAAGGCTCCTCAAACTGATGGTTTTGCCTCCATGATCTTTAAAAGAGCAGAAGCTGGCTGTGAGGCTGAGGTAGCGTGGTCTGTGTGGCGGCTGGGTTCCAAGGAGAGCCGCAATTGGCTCTGCTTGAAGAAGGAGTCTAGATAGGAAAGATTGCAAAGAGGGCTCCCCGTACACCATGGCTGAGACTGTGTCGTTTCTTGCAAGGTGAAACTTGGCAGTTCTACCTTGCAAGTAAAACTCCAAATTAATTTTTAAAAAAAGAGAGAAAGAAAGAAAGGAAGAAATTAAGTCAGAAACAAGGCTTCGGAAAAACTGTGAGTGTTAGGCATAAACTGATTTTGGATGATCTTTAGGTGAGAAAGGGTGGAGTTACCATCGGAAACATGTTTTTATTTATGCTTTTCGAATCCCCACTGGTGTGCGATGTGTGTGTGTGTGTGTATGTGTGTGTGTGTGTGTATTGGTTAGCGTGAGAGTATGTATCGTCTCAATTCTCTAACCACTCTTTTTTTTTTTGCATCTTTTCTGTGTACAGTTCATATAGATACCCGATAAATAAAATAAATATCTAGGTCCATCCACACCTTTTCATTTTATTTGTAAATTGCAGAGCGTAATGAAACCTGGTGAAGTTTAAAAGATTAGATTTTTTTTCATACTGACACTTCATAACACTGTTCGTATGTCTCCGAGTGAGATTTATGAATATATGAACAGTACTGCAAAATTATACTGCACCAGAGACTTCCTGCACCACAGGGGTGGCAGTCTAAAGTGACACAGCTTCAAGCATTTTTCACAGACAAGAAGCAAAATTTAACCCCCTTAAGGGGAAGTATGATTTCGACAGCTTGAAATGAGCTCATTTGTAGATGGTTTTTTTTCCCCCTCTTATATTCCATAATTTTTTGGTGTTAAGATTAAAACAGATTGCACAGCCAATAGAAGGGCATGTATACTGCCCAGTACAGTTAGGTCCTTAAAGAGAAATTTTCACTTATTGTCTTGTTTTATTGGAAATGTCTCAGCCAGGTAAATAAAAGTAAAAATATCCCCCTCCAGCTTCTAAAGGTCTCAGTCTGATTCCCAGAATTGTACTTAGTACATGAGATCCATGGTTTTCGAAAGGTAAGTGGCAATGCACATCAATTAGTTCCGTGAAGAAGCCTCCATTTTCTGGAAGCCCCTAGAGACAATGGCACTAGAAAAATAAGCAATGCCTGGAATCTCAAACTGAATGAAATTAACCAGTTCATTAAAGAACCCCAAAGGCAAAAGATGGTCTCCCCGAATGAAGTGCATATGAAATATCTATTGTGTGTACTTACAAGTCCAAAACCAACTCTCGGGTAGACTGAACCAGCACTTTGTGATTTTTTTTTTCCTAACTTGATGTTCTTGATCTCTCCACTCTCAAATTCTCCTTAACCATCTTACCTCCTCCAGAAACAGAGCAGGGTGCTCAAATGTGGCCTGTTCCCTCCCTGCCTGCCTGGTAAAGGCCTCTTATGATGTGTTGCCTGGAGAATTTTTGTCTCTTTTTCAGCAATGGTACAACAGCTCCATGAACATCATCTGTACCTGGTTGACGGACCGGATGGATCTACAGCTTCACATATACCAATTGAAAACACTAATTAGGATGGTAAAGGTAAAAGAAAAAAATCATTATTCTTCTTTACTGAACTATGTTTTATTGGCGAGCTATAGAACTTCCTTAAGGTAAAGAATATTTGTATACATATACAATACGATGATTTCTAAAGCATCATCACGTACAAGAAAATGCTAGGAAATTGTTTTGTGAGACCTGATTAATTCATTTCTCAGACCTCAAAGAAAAATATAATTAAAAAAAGGAATTCAAGACCCATACCCACCTAGGAAAAATACTTTGTGTAGTTACTATGCAGAAGTGTCACAGAGACTAGCTACCCTTGCATAGGCTTTCAAAAACTGGCTTGGGGTACCATTATGCTAATCATCTAAATTATCAATTTCATGTATGGTTTAATTAAATAAAAATTTCCCACAATTAATTTAATGGAAATATTTACCTCCAGCTATTTTCTAACTATGTCCTATGATCATTATCAGAATGCAAATCAATATTGTTCTCATAGCTAATTGAAGTAGCTTCTCATACCATGCGTGTATACAATCAAATGTAAAGGATCACAAAGGTGAGATCACATACCCTGGAAGTCGCTTTTTTCCCCTGTTCTTCTGTGTGTGCCGTGGACTAATGATAATTATTTCAGCGTGAAATCTCAGTGGTTTACATGAAATAATAAGATCACAGAAGGGGGTAAATACGTTTTTGATCATTTTAGTTTCCATTTGATGTTTTACCATACTGATGTAAAATGTTGGTGTTCAAATACTCCTATTCAAAATCCCAAGTCCCTTATTAAAATACTTGAACAATAAACAGAATTTTTCATCTTACCACTTTACCAAAGATTTCTCCCCTCTCCCCTCCCCTTTTTATGGTTTCCTTTGGAATAGTCCCAATCAACCCTGAAAGGTGAATCTCTACCCCACTGCTGACTTAAAACCAATTACTGTTCCATTGTGTGTAATTAAGGAGAATTATTATCATCTGCATTTGATCTCACAAAGCATCCACCCAGCAAAGGTTACAGGCAGCCCTGTTCTGCAAAGAAGTATATGTATTCGAAATAAGGACTTGGTCCATTTTCTTATTTTGACTTCAGTTATGCAAACTCGCTAGTCATTGCCTGGCCCCTTGAATTCCATTTTCTTGGTATAAATACATTGAGAGAGGGGAAATGTCTGTTTGACTCTTACTGTGTAGCTATAACAAGAAGGGTTCATTTTAATACTAATAATTTTCATTTTAATCATCTCCTACAAACTGATGTTTCCACATGTATGTTATGAATTTACAATGTTACGTCAAGAAAAAAAAATGTAAGCCAGAAAGGAGGTTTTATCTTTGTCATCTTCGAAAACAACACAGACCTAACCACAGAGAAATAACTGCAGAAATCAGTACTGAAGAAGTCTCTTTGCTTGTATTGGCCTCCAGTTTAACTAATGCTACAACACAGAAGAAAATTTTTCCACACATGACCCAGGGGTCTCCACCCAGGCCAATTTCTAGGGATGCTTGTTTTTTCTTTCCTGTCTCAACAAACACTACCTTAGATCTGTCTATTCTTTCATTCTTCAGTACGCATATATTAATTTGTCTCATGTTGGCAAAAGATGAGGTGAGCCCCTGCTTGTATATTACCAGATGGAGGATTCAAGACTGGCTATATGTAATTCCTGGCCTCAAGATTTTAACATCTTATCGGGGTAGGCTGTCCTCTGGAATTTTAATAAAGGAGAGACTACCCAATAGGTTTTGCTTTATTTTCCCATTCTCCTCTGGCCACAGAGATGTTATTCTAAGTGCCACCAGAAAGTTGGAAAGTTCAGTAAGCCATCTGGCTTGTTGGTCTACCCTATGCCTAGCATTTAGTCAGCCTCCTCTATTTCCCCATTAAGGAGAAGAATACAGTTGAGATAGTTACCTGGCTTCCTCCTCTTCTCCTACAGCTTGATCCATAGAATGACCCTATAATTTAATGTCTGAACCAGGTTACTACTATGCAGTAAAATCACCATGGAACAATGGACATAAAGTAGCAAGGGGTCCTGTGGTCATCTGACCCCATGACCTCACTTTATGGAACTTCACTAAGTCAAACTTGCATTTACTCATTAACACCAAAGTCATTTTAACCTCCATGACCTTCCCACAAGGTTGGCCTTGTGACTGTCAACACTGCATATGCATGTGAAAAACTATTAAAAAATAGAAAAAAATGGTGAGAGTGGTGTTGAAATTTGTTAACATTCTCCACCTGCCCCAGTAGCAAGTTTCCCCTACCAATAAGAGAAACAAACAGCAGAATAAGTAGCTGAAATGATATTCAGTGTGATGAGAAGAATTGTTTAAAAGAGTTTTAAAAAAGAAAGAAAAGAGAAAATTGTGAAGTAGACATCAGACAGATGCTACTGGTCATGTTCAATTAACACCAAGAGATTTCTAGAAAAAAAAAAAAAAACAGTTCTTAGGATACCTAAGGAAATCCGAGAGAAATTGCCTGAAGGAACAAAGAAAGAACTTGTGTTTCAGTAATAACCAAACCATTGTTCTTGAAAAAGAGCCAAATTTCTTCCCTGAGAGCATGAAGTTGTGAACGGAATAGATACCGTTCTTTCCCAAGGAAATGAGAAATGAGTCACATGCCTGCAACATATTGATGAGGCATTAGCGCTCCATCTTTCCCACAATTGTTGCTGCCCGTAATAGGTTTCATATACCAATGTACATATGTCTATCTTGTGAATGAGACAGAGGGGTATGGCTCATGCAATTATAACACTCAAAAATTCTAAAAGACCAGACTGCATCAGCAATCACAAAATACCATAATTGCTTGATTCATTATTTATATGCGATAGCCCCTCCTTTACACCATCGATCAAATTATATTATACTAATCTAAGAGAAAAAAAAAAAAGAATCAAACCCCTTCCCCCCCCCCAAAAAAAGGAACCAAAACAATTATGGAACATTTCCCTTTATGGAACTGAATAAACACAAGCTTATGTGCTTTGCTTTGTCTCCTCTAATACAGTTTATCCTGTCACAGTCTCTCATTTTCTGTCATTCAGTGAATCTGTTTTCAGTCCAAGTGAAATCTGAGTTCAGTGACTTTTTTCCTTGATGAGTAGAGGAACACTTAGCTGATGGTCAGGGTTCTCATTCCTAGACCTGTGCTTTGTGTCCTCTCCTTCTGCACCATGGAGATGAGATCTATCTTATCTCTCTGTCTTTTCCCTCCTTAGAAAACCTACAGAGATTTCCGATTGCAAGGAGTCCTGGATTCTACCTTAAACAGCAAGACCTATGAGACCATCCGGAATCGGCTCACCGTGGAGGAAGCCACAGCCTCAGTAAGCGAGGGCGGAGGCTTGCAAGGGATCAGCATGAAGGACAGCGATGAGGAAGACGAAGAAGATGATTAGACTGTTCACTCCTAGAGCCCACTGGGATGGAGTCTTGTAATCAATGCATGTCCTTAGTCTGTTAGTTAACCCCATTAGGGAATTTTCTGTCAATGACCATGCCCATGAGATGTTTACCAATACAATTGCCATTTTAGCTGTGTGGTACCAAGATTAGCAAATGACCTTCAGATCCATTGAACCCGCCGCCCTCCCCGATTTCCATGTCTCTATGTTTACAAGCAATATGGAGCACCATTCTTTTAAATACTGTTGTGAAGAATACATAGTCCAATTGCTAGGTGTGTCTCTGTTATCAGCCAAGTTAAAATGATGCTTCTTTCATGTACTACATCTGCCTCCTTTGCTGGGAAATAGAAGTGAAGGCAGGGGTGTATGTGGTGGTAGTGGGGGATGCTTTCACCTCTTTGTTTTATGTCTGTGGATACCAGTTATTTAAGTGAGTACATAAATAAATAACTTCAATTAAGCACATAGATCTGCTTTGTTTTCTTGTAAAAACCAAAGGCAAGGCTCTAACGGCCAATGTTTGGTTCTTTCTGTGCCCCTAAGACAAAATGAAGAATGGATCCCTTGTATCCTGGTGAGCCCAGCCTTTTATTTTCCGTTATAACTAGCCTCCCTCCTCTCCCCCCCCCCAAAAAAAGGCTAAGTTATCAATGAATTGATTCTCTAAATTGCCAGAGCAAGGGGACAATCTTATCATGACTTAGCATCAAGTGCAGTCAAGAGCAACTGTCTCTCATCAAAGTTTATCCTATTCAATGTTACGTTTGCTTTTCTGTTTCATAACAGTGTATGTAAAAAAAACAACCCAACTATTTACATTACAACCCTAGACTATAAATGTGTTTATAATAAGATACAGATATTTCCTTCCATAGAATGTAATCATAATTTAATATATTTTGTTCCATGACATTTTTTCTATCCGTCATGTACATTGCATTTTGATCTGTAACTGCACGGCCCTCGGTCTGCTGCAGAGTGGTGTCCTTCTGTGTACAGTAGTGATCCATCTTGCTTTTGCCTTATATAAAGCCGACAGTTATGTAAGTGTGGAAAACTGTGGCTTCTCAATAAATACCTATTCAGATGTCCTAAGAATATACATTTGAGTCTGTCTTCCTCTGTCTCCTTTGAAAGCCAGAACTGAAACAGAAGTCACGGGAGGAGAGAAACAAGGGAAGAAAGAGGTAAATTTTCAGAGAGCGTTCTTGACACAGTTGGAGTGGGCTGTTTTCAAATGCTTATAGTTCTCTGTGAGAGACTGCCTAGAATTCCACTAATTCAGACTCCACTAATTCAGGATCTGTGGGCATTTGGACATGTTGGGCAGATTATGCTTGCATTATAGGATAAATAAGGGTTTGCTAAGCAAGTGAGTAGTGTAAACGAGAGAAATGTTTCTCCTGTATGGAGAGAAGGCCAACAAACTGTTTTTAAGCACCACTTTAACAGCAGTGTTTGCATTCAAACAAAGTGTGTGCCAATTATATATGATTCTTATATATTTGTTAAGGCATTTTACAAGATTCTCTAAGACAGGGAGTACTCTTCTAGCTCCCCAGCCCCTTTCAGCAACATAATCACCTACATTTGAACGAAATCAAATGTGTGTCTCGTTATCTTTACTTGTGTCTGTCTCTAAACCAGGCTGACCTCTCCTTGGGGCTGTTTGAGGCTTGAAAGAAGTGACTGCTTTTCCAAGAGGACCAGGTAGAATGTTCTCTACAAAATAACCTTCCACACGCAACACATCAATGTGCATGCTCCTTGAGGTCTGCAGCTGTAAATCATTAGAAATTTCCACCCCTGCTGGGTTGGCATGAGCTCTGTTTCCATGCATTCTGCACGTATTACCTGAGTTCAATCTAACAATAATAAGAGAGGAGGCTGTTTTTCTCACTATAGATAAGGAAATTAAGGTTAACAAAATGTTAACCCAACTTTCCCAATGGTTACACAACCCTATACTGAAGCCAGGCACTGATGCCTCACACCTAATGGCTGTAATGGCTATTCAGGAGGCAGAGATCTGAAGATCATGGTTTGAAACCAGCCCAGGCAAAGGAAGACTATGAGATTCCCATCTCCAGTAAACTAGTAAAAAGGTGAAGTTGGAGCTTCATTCAGCTGGTAGAGCATTAGCCTTGAGTGAAAAGCTAAGGATATCACCCAGGCCCCAAGTTCAAGCCACAGAGCCAGGAAAAAAACAAGCAATAAATCCCTCCATACAGAAACCTGAATTCAAACTTACAAGCATAAATGTGGTAATATACAAGATAAGGATATATCATTGAGGTATGAAAAACTACCCAGTGTCACCTCATTAAATCACAGTAGAAAACCTAAAATTGTTTTAAAGTACATGCTATTATATTTTGACTTGCAAAACTGAAGAGTATTCTTTGCAACAATAGCAAACAAGTTAAAAATCTGCAATATAATAGGGTACCCGTGATTCATGCCTGTAATCCTAGCAACTCAAGATGCTGAGAACTGAGGTTTGTGGCTCAGTCTGTGAGACTCTTATCACCAACTAACCACCAAAGAGCTGGACATGGAACCGTGATTCAAGGCTCAGGCCTGGGAAAAAAAAAGTCTGCAATGTGAAGAAGAAACACCTGCTTAAGGGTTAAGGAAAAAAAGGAGGGAGGGTTATTCGGGATCCTTTTGAGTTTGATAACCAAAGGCATGATCCAAAAGGCATAAAGAGAATCAAGCCAGAAAAGGTAGTCTCCAAAACTAAGGTCAATGGGTGAAATAAGATTCTTCACAAGGAGAAGTCACCTTCACCCCTGGCATTGAGGATTCTCTTATGGAGATTCCCCACCCACATGGTAGGATGGAAGAAGGGCTACATGGAAGGAAGGAAGGAAGGAAGGAAGGAAGGAAGGAAGGAAGGAAGGAAGGAAGGAAGGAAGGAAGGAAGGAAGGAAGGAAGGAACTACCTCTACTACCTCTACTACCCAGAGGTGAATAAAGCCTCCCCAGAAGCCCATGGACCTCCCTGTAATCCATCCTTGGCAACATTAGGTATAGTCACTGTTTAATTTTGACCATCCTGGGAAGTGGTATGGTGGTATAGTATAGTTGTAGTTTACTGATTACAGAGATGAATATGGAATTGGAGATGGGTGAGGGAGGGAGGGAGGGAGGGAGGTTGGGAGGGAGGGAGGGAGGAAGGAAGGAAGGAAGGGAGGGAGGGAGGTTGGGAGGGAGGGAGGAAGGAAGGAAAGGAGGGAGGGAGGAAGGAAGGAAGGAAAAGAGGGAGGGAGGGAAGGAGGGAGGGAGGGAGGGAGGAAAAAGCAAGAGAGCCAGGAGAAAAGGTAGGCCAAGTTCAATCCATAGGTTCTCCATGGCATAAACACAAAGCTGGGGAGGCAGGTGCTTTCTTCACTTCTTTGGGTGTCTTGAGCTTTCTCTTTTTTCCCATTCTGTTTTCTTAAAACATTATATGCATACAGAATATTACATGAAAAACAACAACCAAAACAAAACAAAACAAAAAGAATATAACATGAACCCTAAGCACACACTTCAGTGATTTGTCATAAAACAGACACACTCATAGAACAAGACTAAGACGTAAGAAGAGAACAAACTGAACAAATTCTGGTGTTCCCCCTGCACATGTACCTTTCTGCCTTTATTTGCCTACCTACTCCTTATTTGCCACACACACACAAAACACACCATCCTGATTCCTAATCTAGATTGTCATGTAATTATAGTCATCAGTCATCACATCCAGCCATGTTGGTCTACCTTGTTTGGTTGGCATAGCTGTTAACTTGTTTTTTTTTTCTTTTTGTTGCTGTAGACATTCTGATACATGAATATGCCATGATTGATTTCTCCACATTGAAACATTGCTTTCCATTTGGGAATGTTATGCACAATGCTATCATAAGTTTTCTTGTACATATCCATGTGTGCAATGGTGAGATCACAGGTCAAAGGTATGTTCATTTTTAGAAGATGCTACCTCTACTACCCAGAGGTGAATAAAGCCTCCCCAGAAGCCCGTGGACCTCCCTGTAATCCATCCTTGGCAACATTAAGTATAGTCACTGTTTAATTTTGACCATCCTGGGAAGTGGTATGGTGGTTTATAGTTGTAGTTTACTGATTACAGAGATGAATATGGAATTGGAGATGGGTGAGGAGGTTCATGCCTGTAATCCTAGCTACATGGGAGGTAGAGATCAGAAGGATTACAGTTTAAGGCCAGTCCAGGAAAAAGATTCTAAAGTTCCCCATCTCAATCAATAAAAAGCTGGGCATAGTGATTCATCTGTCATCCCAGCCACTTAGGAAGCATAAAATAGGAAGATCACTGTCCAAGGTAAACCAAGAATAATCTTAAGACTCTGTTTGAAAATATAAAGCAAAAGAGACTGCAGGTGTGGCTCAAGTGGCAGAGTACCTGCCTGGAAAGGCAAGCCCCTGAGTTCAAACCCAGTTTCCAAAAAAAAAAAAAAGATCACCTCATTGTGCAGTGAATGTTTAAGTCTTTCCCTTAGGTTGAAAGAGGAACATTCTAGGGCTATTTAAAGGTTGATGGAGAAGAGGCCATAAGAAAAATTGTCAGGTGCATGAATCTCATGTCAAGGGAAATGTTTAATTGGTGGAAAGACATTCCTTCTAGTAACAATAGGTCAATGAATTTCTGAGTGCATCCGGATCAAGATACCATGCAGTAAACACTCACACTCTGTCCCATCCATTCCCTCTGACCTGTCACAGAGAGTCTTTCTAAGAGGCAACTGTGGGTTGGTCCAAACTCTTAATTAAAAGCGTCCAACCACATTTCAGCTTTCTCTTAGAATGTAGCCCAGACGCATGAAGGTGGAGTGAAAGCCATACAGAATCTGACCCTTGCTTCCCTCTCCAGCTACTTCCCTTGACCCTGTTCTTATTCTAGAATCCTCCACACTCACCACCCTTTTCTCATATCCTTAAAAATAGTCCATCTCATCTTTCCAATCCCAGTTAATTTGACCTCCTCCAGAGGAGGGCGACTCTTCATAAAACTCTGCACTTGTCTTCCATAGTATTCAGCACTTTGTTATTCATATTGTTGCCCATTTCAGAACATCGCTCTCCATTTCTGGAAGGTCATGGGCAGTACCAGCTTCTCCATTCTGTCCCCAGCAC